AGTCCGAATAATGTAAATAATTTTAGTAATGAATCGTGGAGAATTTAGGAAATTTCGTTCTTTAGAATGATATTGGGAATGCAATGGATGGCACATGTAAGCATTGAGGGAGCGCTTTATCTGAAATGGAAACAAAAAGGCAAAAGAGCCAAATTAAATTTCTGATACAAATAATCAGTAAAGAGTTCGATAATTTGTCATTCAGAAACATCGATGAACTTACCCAACAAGCTTGAGTAAGAGGATAGCTGTACATGGGGTGGGGAGTTGTAGAAATGAGTGGAACCAAACTAAGAACTAAGAATTTATGGAGAGGACATCGGCGCGTAAATTTATTTTTACCCATTCTACAGTATATCTGTAGAAATGGGCAGGATATTAAAAAAAAAAGTCACCTTTTCAACAATTAGCCGGCATCTTCGCAATGATGGAAACAAATTGCTTCGGGGTTAATAAACCTGTTATTATGTAACATTGTATGAAAATGCCCGAAAGTTGTTTTCTTATTAAAACGAGAACTTTTTCTAATTTACAACGTTTGGTTTTTATTGATGATTACTTTTCTATCTAAATTTTAAAACTGAAATTTTAATAAGTTTTCAGCTATGAAAAAGAAGTTAAAGTTCAAATCAATATTTGGAAATATTTTTTGAAATTATAAAATGCAACGATTTGTATTTTTAAAATGAAACATCTTTATAAAATATTTTATCTTGAATTTTCATTGCATTTTACATGCCACCAATCTTTAGTATAATTGAACAAAACTCACATATTTGCAGGAGTGTTTTTCATAATGTTCTAAAATATTAAATATTTCAATTCGACGGAAGTCATTTTTATCGAGAAAATATTTATTTTATTAATACATCAGTGGATATTCTTCAAAAATATTTAAAATCCATTCAAAATCAAGCCTCATTCTACGAAATTTATTAAGCGGATTAAAACATGCAAGAAAAACGATATTTCAGATAATTTTTTCGCAAAGAAGTATAAATATAACAAATTATTATAAATCACCATCAAATAAAAGAACAAAATTTTATTATATGTTGAAAATGAGCTGCATTTCTGTATTATATTAAAATACTGATGTATTAGGCATTTGGATTAGATTTCTATTGTATTTTCATAGTTATATAATTCGGTATAAAAAAAAAGACAATTCAAATACCACTATCTCGATTTTTCTGTAGTAGAGGAAAAGAATATTATAACACTACATTTTCCAGATTTTCTTCCTTGAATGACTATAAGGCTATAGGAATTGCATAAAAATGAAACTCAATTGTACGCCATTTTGATGACCATTTCGCCCACCTCCCTGGTATAATCTCCTTGGAGCCTGTCAATGCTGAAACGTTTGTTAAAAAAATTAAATTTAACGGGATTCTTTTTAAGTTTAAAAAATAAAAATTAAAAAAGGAAGGCAAGAAAGAAGAAAATAAGAGTGGAAAAAAGAGGGACAAACAACAAATAAAGGAAATGACATTTGATAGGGAGATAGAGAGAAAAAGGAAAAGAGACACTATATATATATATATATATATATATATATATATATATATATATATATATAGAGAGAGAGAGAGAGAGAGAGAGAGAGAGAGACAGAGAGACAGAGAGAGAGATAGATATATCAGAGAAATGTGTACAGTGTCGGTGATATAGAGAGTGTAGGTATAGAAATCAACACTTTATGCTTCAATGACATCCCAGGACTTCATCTTTGATTTTTTTGTAGGTGAACAAATGGCAACAAGTTTAATAAAAAATTATTGGTAGAAAACAAAATTCACGCCATAAGTTTCCACTATACTTCCGGCAAATTTATGACCGAATTAATAATAATAATAATAATTATAATAATAATAATAATTATTATTATTATTGTTGTTGTTATTTTTCTTTCCTTTGATTTCTGGCGTTGACAAACTTCTTTCCGGGTCCCGCCCAGGAACCTAAGGTTAGAAATGGCATCATGACATTTTCCACTGACAAAAAAAGAAAATGATAAAGCTCTTCGTAAAGTGTGGGCGGTACTTGCTAGAACAAATGTTTTTTATCTCTTTGAGGCGTGGACTTCCAGGAATCCCTTCAATTATTCTACTGGAATCTTTTCCAACCAATCCTAGGGCTCCAACTACAACAGAGATTGTTGATATTCCCATATCCCACATTTTTGAGATTTCAGTTTCAAGGTCCTTGTATTTCAACAGTTTTTTGAATATCTTCAAAGATACATTGCAGTCAGCAGGGACTGCCATATCAATAAGGAGGCACTTGTTTTTGTTTGTGGTCTCCAATAACAATGTCTGGGCGGTTGGCTTTGATTGTTCTGTCAGTGTGTATTGTGTAGTCCCATAGAAGTGTAACGGGTCCTATCTCCGTAAGTGGGTCTGGGTGGTGTTCATACCAGTTTCTTTCAGTTTCCTTCCCGTAGAAGTTCCAAATTTTCCAGTGCAGATATTGGCCCACTCTATCATGTCGGGTTTCAGGATATTTATCACAGAATCTGCATTTGGGGCTGACACAATATTTTAGTATATGTGCTTGATAATTCCTAGTTAACAGGCATTGTTCCTGTGCAGCAAAGATAAAACCTTTAGTTTCAGCTTTCAACCTTGCACAACGTAACCACTGACGGGTACGGGTTTTGTCTACTTCAGCTTGTGTGGTACGGGCAGGGTATTGTCCATGAAGCGGTTTATCTTGCTATTGTTTCTCAATCTGGTCGGTTGCATTTTCTTTGCTTTCTTTTTTAAGTATTTTGCAGGTTTTAACCGGTGTATTGTGCTTTTATTTGTATTTCTGCGCCCATTTGGAACTCCATTTTGAATTTGTTAGGTCAGAACTAGGTCAGAACTAATGACCTATTGCAAGCGAAACATTTGATTTTTTTGTAGTTTTCACTTAATCAAAAAAATACTGCTATTAACAAAAACCTAAATGGAAAAAGCTCTTAGCAGGAAATAGGCTCTTTTGTTAAAACCATTTTCAGGTGCACCAGGAATTTTGTTGATTTGTTTTGGAATACTTTTCTTTATAAGACCCAGATCTCGAAATATAGCTTTAGTCTTTAGTGTCACATTTTTTTCTGTTTCTATATCTATTATTATTATTATTATTATTATTATTATTATTATTTTAAACGATATATTTACTGGATCCACATGTTTAAGTAGATGACCCTTTTTGACAGTGTAAATCACATCTGTATTTAAAAGTCTTAACATTAAATGTAATTCACATGGTATTCACTAAAATACAACAAAATATTAAGAAATAATACTGGATTAATAATAATTAACTCTTTAAAATGCATGCATACAGGCACACACACACACACACACACACACACACACACACACACACACATACACACACACACACACACATATATATATATATATATATATACAAACACACACACACACACACATATATATATATATATATATATATATATATATATATATATATATATATATATATATATATATGTGTGTGTGTACATACCTACATATGCATATAATTTTTAAAATATACGTAAACACGCACGGTTATAATTATCTTAATTTTTTTAAATTTATCCGGGGTAGCTATGGAATATTTCGCAAAACAAGCGTCCCAATTTAAGGGAGATAACCAGAATCAGCAGAAATACAAAACGGTATTAAATGTTAGTTAAATTCACTTCAAAACCATTCTTCTACACTCGTAATACATTTTGTTCAGTATTGTTTGATTGCTTTTGATATAGAGGACCTCAAGTTTGTTTATTATTATTATCGTGGATAAATTTAATGAGTTTATCTTTTTAATTCACCGCTAAGGATGATCTCTTAGGAGATTGAAAGTACTTGGGTAGAAAAAATACGGCACCTTCCTAGATGAATTTCATCTTAATGTCAAGAAACTGATTAGGCAACTAGAAAAGATTATTATAAAAATGAATAGACATAATATGTCTATATTATTCGATGAAAAGTTTTAATTAAGAAATCCTGCCTAAATATAAATTTTGATTGGCTCGAAGCATAGCGGTTATTGGATGCAACAAGTTTCCATTGTTTTTTTGTTTTTTTTTTTGTATTCAAATGGAAGTCGAATCCATAGCGTTCACTTTTCTCAAACAACATTGGCACTCCATAGATCTCTTTCTTTTCCTCCTACGTAGCAGTTAATGGCTAGTTGATAACCAGTCTAGGAGAGGCAACGTTCTTAATTTAGAAAAGGTTGGACGTGGGGAAATTGATTAATCTCTTTAAAACCCAAAAAAACTACAGCAAAAGCATCTAACTGTAACTTTATGGGCGGAAGGGTAGTCTACAGGCTAACATACATGTTTCCGTCTGCATAGAGTTGTATAGCATTTATTATCTTGACATTGGTTATAGATACGATTGCTATTCAATTTACTTTTTGGCTCCAAGATTACGTTGAAAAGTGATAAACTCGATTCAATGTAAATCATGTAATATTGAAGGCATTAAGTAACACAAGTTGGCACGTAAGGTTTATACAATTACCAGACGAACAGTAAGCTTATTAAATAGCAAAAAGAAAAATGAAAACATTAATGATAAAGAAAACCCAAAGGATTTAGAGGAAAAAAAACATCGGGAAAACCTCTAAAGAATATTTGTAACGAGTTGAGCTGAAAATATATAAAGATAAAACTTACAGCAAAGAAAAATAATTGTGTCGTCTGTTTCCTGTCTTTAGCGGTCGGTGTTCAAACGTCGATTGAAACTAAGATTTTTATTGACTTAGGCAGAGATTCCAGACTTGAATAATTGGAAAAGTGCAATCTTCCTTTATTTTTCCTGTGTTGTACGGTGCCGGAATAAATATGTAAAAGAAAGATGTAGGAAGTAGTTAAAATGTCTATGAGAAAGAAATATGGAGTATGGGATCAAAACGAAAAAAGGGAGGTGGATGAATTTGGAGGTAAAATTAGGAGAAAGCTGGGATAGCAGGTCAGGATTTGATGGTTAGAGAGAGAGAGAGAGGCAGATACGTGAGGAAAATAGAGAAAGGAGAAAGAAAAGTAATTTGAGTGAAACGAGAGAGTTTAATAAAGAATCTTTGTGGCGAATCCATAGCCAAGAAGAAGAAGCGGAAAAAGAAGGAAAAAGAAGAAGAAGAAACAAAAGAAGAAGAAGAAGAAGAAGCGGAAAAAGAAGGAAAAGAAGGAAAAAGTAAAAAAAAACAGAAACAAAAGAAGAAGTAGCGGGAGAAGAAGAAAAAGAAGAAGCAGAAACAAAAGAAGAAGAAGAAGCGGAAAAAAAAGAAAAAGAAACAAGAGAAGAGGAAGAAGAAGAAGAAGAAGCGGAAAAAGAACAAGAAGGAAAAAGAAGAAGAAGAAACAAAAGAAGAAGAAGAAACAAAAGAAGAAGAAGAAGCGGAAAAAGAAGGAAAAGAAGGAAAAAGAAAAAATCAGAAACAAAAGAAGAAGTAGTGGGAGAAGAAGAAGAAGAAGAAGAAGAAGAAGAAGCGGAAAAAGAAGAAAAAGAAGGAAAACGAAGAAGCAGAAACAAAAGAAGAAGAAGAAGCAGAAAAAGAAGAACAAAAAGGAAAAGGAAGAAGAAGAAACAAGAGAAGAGGAAGAAGAAGAAGAAGCGGAAAAAGAAGAAGAAGAAACAAAAGAAGAAGAAAAGAAGTGGAAAAGGAAGTAAAAGAAGGAAAAAGAAAAAATCAGAAACAAAAGAAGAAGAAGAAGAAGAAGAAGAAGAAGCGGAAAAGAAGAAGAAGAAACAAAAGAAGAAGAAGAAGCGGAAAAAGAAGAAAAAGAAGGAAAAAGTAGAAGAAACAAAAGAAGAAGAAGCGGAAAAAGAATACCAAAAAAACAGGAATAATACAAGAAAGCGATTGCCAAGAAGAAAAAAAGGATGAATCAAATAACTTAAAGAAGTAGACAAATACCAAGGAATAAGAAGTAAAAATAAAAGACCGTCAAAAATAAGGAATGGTGTGAAGAGCAAATGAGTAACGACGATGGGGTCGGCCGTAAGGTAGAGGAAGGAATGAAGTAGCAACAATAAAAAAAAAAAAAGTAAGAAAACATTTTTTAAACTTACAAATCTAGAGAATGTGCGAAAATAGATAAAAAGAATTCAAACAGTGAAGCAGAAAGACGAATTGTACGATTTGTACGAAATGAATGTGCAAACGGATGGAAGAATATAGAAAATAGAAAACCAGATCGATAGAGGAAGACAGCAAAAGAAACAGATTGATAGAGAAGAAGAAAACTGATAGACGGTATTCATTATATCGCGTGCAGTGCGATCTGTAATTGTCTCTGATTTAGGACACCTCCATCCACCTTGTTCTTCATAATCTATCCCAATGCCACATAGAAGATACCTCGAGGTTTAACATTGGCTTACTCTACGATGGGATTAAGTGGTAAAACGCTTGAGAGACCAGCGAGAATTTGTAAAGGAAGTGAAAAGAAATCGACAACCGGCGCCGGAAGATTATTTATTATTATTATTATTTTTTTTTTTTTTTTGGAGGGCTTGTGGAGGGTTCTGATTGGAACCAGTATACAATTGAGCTTTTCTCCATTGCCCGTCTGTAATTAGTGGAAGATGAAAATTGGCGGGAAAATATCAGATGCTAGTTTTACGACACACAAAACGCAGCGGACATCTTTGTTTCCATTTTGTATGTCTTTTTTGACACGTAAACAGACACACTTCACCATGTGATTTGCTTGTGCGATGCATGTTCACGTTAATGAGATCTGGAAGGAAGTGATGAATTTGACGGTTTCAGATGAGACGACACCTTTTTTTCTTATTTTTCATTCTTTTCTTCTTTTATATTACTTTTTTCGTTTCTTTCTGTCTGTCTATTTTGATATTTATATCTTTCTCTTACCTTCTTCTCTGTCTGTTTTTTGATTTATTTCCGCGTCTTTTGCTTAACTCTTATATTGGACATCTAGCTTTTGGTTTATATCTTTCTGTTGTCACTTTTTCTTTGTTACATTCACTTTATAATTCTTTCTATCTTTTCCCCCTTTTTTCTTCCTTTCTTTTGTTTCTTTTTGTCTTATACCTTTGTAAATTTCTTTCTTGATTGCATCTTGCTTTCTTTTCCATTTTTTATTCATTTTTCTTCTGTTCTGTTGCTTCCATTTTTCTAATTTATCGTTGATATTTAAAAAATTATATGCAATGTCAATCGTTATCTTATTGCATTCTGAATAACTGAACTTTTATAGTTTTCTTCTTAGTAATATTTTTCTTTATCTCATATACATTTACAGTTAGTAACACCCCCTTGCGTCTTAGTAATTTTATTGCCTTGCTTGGGGTAAATTATTATAAAAAAAATGTCTGTTTTTATAACAGACGTTTCCATTATTTAAATCATTCTTTTTCTATCCTTTCAAAGTTTGACATTTTCCCATGTATTTATTTCTTTTCTATTAAACTTTTCCAATTCTCCATTCTTTCTTTCCCCTTTTCTTCTTTTTCTTGTTTTTATTTCCGTGTTTGATCTCTTTGTTTCGTTTTTCGATACAATTTACAGTAATATCTTATTAAGCTGTAAAATACATTAAATAAGTTTTACTACAATTAGAGCATGTCTCTTGTTATATACCGTATTTACGAACACTAATGGGTATGTCCCTATCCTTCTAAATACGTTGAAAATTATTGTAAGTGGGGGTAATATGCTAAGTAGATCACCAGTAGCAGTGGTTTACCTACTTCACGCCGCTGGCGGGTATTGTATTTTGTTGATGTTATAAAGATTAGCATTTCATTTCCAACCTCCGTTTTGGTTATTCCTCATTTAGTAAACCTTTTCAAGGTTGCCACATCTATATATTATAATGATATAATGTAAAATTATATTAAATCAAATATTTAATTTTTTTTTTACTCTTAGACAGGAACTTATTAAGATACCTTTTGATTAATTTCGCTCTTTTTAACCATTTAAATGACTATACACCCCCCCTTATTAAACAAAAAGGACAAATGATCACAACACCCTACACTTACATACATGTGCCCAAACGTTCAGTTTAGAGAGGGTTTATTTTAATAATTCTTTCAATCATATTCAATATTAAAATAAACCCTCTCTAAACTGAACCATGTCTCTCACACCACTCCTCGCTACCCTCTCTGTTAAATTACATAAACTTGATACTACCCGTCAAAAATGTGAATTTTCATTTCATCTTTCATTTCATTTTGTGAGTGTTATCTGATGATCCAGCGTCCCTTAAAAGGGCTCTGGTGAAATAAATTATTATAATGGAACCTTAAAGCGATCTGTTCTTCATTATATATATATATATATATATATATATATATATATATATATATATATATATATATATATATATATATTTAAGCTTCACCCCAAACAAGGTGGGGAGTCACTGGCTCGCAAGGGGTTACAGAGAGTTGGAGCTAGAGCAAAGAGGAGTAATAGAGGAAAGGATGAAGAGAAGCTAGGGGATAGGGCATCTGGAGACGTCGATTGACATTACATTTGAATAGTTGAAGATTATAGCTATCATGGAAACAGGAAGAGGGGAGGGAGTTCCACAGTCGACAGGTGCGAGTATATAGGGAGAGAGAGAGGGGGAGAGGAAGAGAGAAAGCCAGGAGGAATCCGCCATATTTTTATCACTATAGGTGTTCCAATTATTTATTTATTAAACAGTATATTTATTTATTTTCGTCTACCGGCCTGAATGTTAAGCAAATCTTATCAAAGAAGAATTGAAACTCGGTTCTCCGACTTGTAATTCCAAACCGTGAACCATTCCATCACTCGTATATCCAAGCTTACAACACCTGATATTTCGAAGCGGTCACTGATCTAGATACTTAATTTCGGTGATCGTACGAGAATTGGTTTTTCAACGTGTGATATGACCGTAAGCACATTATTTTTCTTCGTTACTTACATGTCCCAAAACACGCAATTGCCGCCTTTAGTTTCTGCGAAAGGTTTTACGTGGGTCCCTATTCGCAAAACTCACTAGTCTCCTTAACCCTGCGTAATTAAACCTTAAGGCCTTTCCCGTAGTAATGTCAATTATCCAGCAAATAAATAAATAAATAAACAAAAACTATACGTTGTACACAGTAATTTCGATTAATCCCCATTTCCGCAGATAACGGTAATAAACGTTTGGGCTTTCCATTGCAAAATGGTCCACACTTTCTCACCACTTGATCCAACGTTATTCTCCACATTAGTTGCTAGAATCGCATCACAATATATTCTTTATTTATGATGACATTTTCCAGCAGTCACTGCTGTAGAGGAGAGCAGACGTTACATAACAGTCAAAAATAATTTTATTTGGAGTCTAATATTATTTGTGAAAATCCTGCCGAATCTTAATTTCTAGAAAGTATATTTCACTCACCCTCTTCGCCTCTGGATATTTTTTACTCCTTTCGTTTACAGTCGTCTCAATGCTTAGATATTTGAATTTCTTTATTTTCACGTCCCCAATGTGTAATTCTCGCCTTTTGCTCATAACTATACATACTGGTTAATTTTCTTCCTATGGAGAATTCTTAGAAAATGAGGAAGAAATAAGTAATCAGTACTCAAAAATTAAGAAATATATTGTTAAGTGCAGTTCTTTTTGATAATAAACCAATTAATAATTAAACAGAGCAAAGGCTCCTCTCCTGACTCAGTGTTTCGTCGTGGTAAATCTGAATTTCACGCGCAAGATAAATCAAGGACATTTGAATGAATATAAAGAAATTTGCTATAAACCAATCGGTGATGTTTTTCTATCGAATACTTTGAAGAAACCCGTAATGTATAAAAGCACGAAAAATAGATTGTCAATGAAAATGAATGAAGGCAAACGTCATTGAAAGAAGATGAATCATGTAAATATTTCAACATTATGTTTTTTATGTGGCTGACATATTCTTCGTTATACGCATTGTGATCAGCTCTCACCCTATATTTACCTTAATTTCATGTTTGCTCATAGTATTCGGAATATGGCTTCCAGGATTTACTGTTTTTCTGTGTGTATACCAGAGATCATTGTGGGACATATTTGAAGTAAATGACCAAAAATGACATAAAAAAAACATTTCCTATGTTACAAAACAAGACTGCAAAAAGAAAGTACATATTACGACCGAAGGAAACGAGGCACTGAGTCAATCATCATTTTTTATGAAAACCCCATTAACCACTCAGAAAATGTCCTTGCAAGATTCCTTTTGTCTCTTTTAACTGTTTATTCTTTTAGAAAATTGTTATATACCGTACCTAGGAACACTAATATGTCCCAATCCTCATAAATACGCTGGGCACTATTGTAAGTGGGACTAATATGCTGTATAAGTAGTCCATCACTAGCAGTGGTTTACCTACTTCGCGCCGCTGGTGAGTATTTTATTTTGTAGATGTTATAAAGATTATCATTTCATTTCTAACCTGCGTTTTGGTTATTCCTCATTCAACAACCTTTTCTAGGTGTTATGGGACCTTACCCATAATAACATAATAGACTATTCCATACGTAATAAATACTGCGCCTCAAGAGGAAGCAGAGAATTCCGTCTGAAGTCTGGAGTTCCGACTGAAGTCTGGAGTTCCGACTGAAGTCTGAGTTCAGTCTGAAGTCTGAGTTCAGTCTGAAGACAGGAGTCTGTCAGTCAGTCAGAGCGAGCGAGTCAGTCAGTCGAGTCAGAGGCAATCCGAAACAGAGTCACGTTCAATTACTACTAAACCTGATTGTTCGTATTAACCCTTTCTACCTCTCTGTATATATTCCTGTTTGTAATATATATGTGTAATTCCATATCCGTGTTCGAGTTCTTCTTTATTGGTTCTACCTTGGACTATCACCGTGGTACAAGGAACTGGACCATAACACTAGCTTACAACAGTTATCCACTTTTAATTTCCGTACTTTTTGGAAAACTACTGAAAGGATTATTAGAGAATTATTTCCCAATATATATGTGTGTGTGTGTGTGTGTGAGAGAGAGAGAGAGAGAGAGAGAGAGAGAGAGAGAGAGAGTAATAGAAAGCTGCAATGCACAAAAAAGGACCTGAAATAGGAAAGTCTGAAGTAAGATCAGCACTCGACAAGATGAACGAAGCAGCAGAACCAGACTCAAATGATTTCAAATGATTTCTTATGAAAAGATTTACATGAAATCTACAGATCATTAAGATTTACGGCAATTGAGTTATTTTTTCCTTATATTCTTACTGTTATATATTGTACATATGAACATTAATGGGC